ATAAAATTAAATTATAAAAAATATACTTTAGCCATTTTTAAAAGTTTTATTTCCTAGTATTCCTTTCACTTGTTTTCCTCCTATTTTTCCCTCATCCAAACATAGCCTTAAGTGTTTTTTTTTAAAAAAAAAAGCCACTATATATTTTCCATCTTCTAAAAGTGTTATTATTTACGTCAAGATGTTTGATCCAAGCTGATGCTCGCCATATATAGGCATGTTCACGGGGAGAGGGTCCTTGTGTTCACTAATAACACCATTGCGCCACTGTATCTGGACAAAGTTGTTGATGCCCTAAAAAGAGGAAACCCAAATATTTCTGTTGAGAGTCATTTTGCCAGATGGTGAGCAGTTCAAAAATCTGGTAGGTCTTGTATGCTTAAATTGAGGATTGTTTGATTTTCACTCTTTTTTCTTTTTTAATTTATATTATACAACTTAGACATATGCGCCAGCATATAAACACGTCAATGCTAAGCTTTGGCCTTGGACCTTATCCAAGCATGGAGCCCGCAGGCAACGTGCCACTTATGTGTGATTTTCACTCTTGGCTCAAGCATTAAAAATGATCACCTACTTAACTGTCAGAGATATGTACCAAAAGTGTACTGGAAGAAGATGGCCCCTAAGCTTGGGCTGCAAGCTACATTTGTTGCTCTTGGAGGTGGTGTGATTGCTGACTTATGTGGCCATGTTGCTTGTCTTCACATGCCTGAGGATGCTCATCTTATTCAGATTCCAACCTCCGTTGTGGCTCAGGTCTACTACTGCTTCTACAATTTTATTATTCATGTTTTTATGTCAACTTGATATTCGATATTATATTTATTATTCTAATAATCTCTCTCAGCTTTTTCTTTGTTTTTTTCTGATACATTAGCCTGTACATGGTGATGATCCAGGTTGATTCTTCTGTTGGTGGCGAGAACGTGCCTTATAAGTCCCGCGAACCTCACTGTGTGCTCATAGACACAGACACATTAACTACATTACCTGATAGGGAACTGGCATCGGGGTTTGCAGAGGTTATCAAATGTGGTCTCATCAGGGATGCACAATTCTTTGAGTGGCTCGAAAAAAATATGCAGGCACTGATGGCAAGGTAAAATCATCACCATCATCTAAGTATTGTTATTATAAGCTTGCAGTTGCAGGCTCCGGTGTTTGATCCTTTTACGCCATATATAAAGCTTATTGCAAACAAGGACGGCATAGTGCACGAGACTCCCACTAGGTAGGGTCTGGGAAGGGGTAGATGTACGCCATCTTACCCTGAAGCAGAAAGGCTGTTTCCAGGATGGAGGTTATAACACAAGGCAAAACTTGTGGAATTTAAGCTTAATTATCCTTTTATTGCTTTTTATTAGTTGCTTTGGATCAACTCAGATGCCCTCTTAATGCAGGGACCCAAGTGCAGTGGCATATGCCACAAAGCGATCATGTGAGAACAAGGCTGATGTTGTGTCATGGGATAAGAACGAAAGTGGACTGAACTTTGGCCGCACATTTGCCCATGTGAGTGCTTTCATTTAGCTGGTGATAGTTTTTCTGTTTTAGATTTCCAAACAGTTAGAGTTGTGATGTGAATATCATCTTCAGGCTAATTCAGTGTGCTGTGCTCTTTTAAATAAACATGCTTTCCCTCTTGGGACGTATATTGTATTGAAAGTTTCTAAGATTAAGATTTCCTCTTAAACTCTCTGCCCTCGACGACACAATTCTGAGACTTGACAAATTTTGTGCAGTTCTTAAATTCAAAGGTTAAGAATAGCCTCTGGAAGTATATTTTTGTTTGTTTGCTGCTTCAGATTTGTGTGATCGTATTTTAATTTGTACTCAAACTGATTGAACATAATACTCCTTCACGTGCACTTTATTTCAGGCAATAAAAGTTAAGCTTGGCGATGGACAGTGGCTTCATGGAGAGGTTGTTGCAGCTGGCATGGTACTTCACCCTCAATCTTGTTTCTTATTCTCATGTTTCATTATGGGGTATATGAGCGTCTTGCTTGTCACTCCTCCTGTTAACTAATTTACTAAATTTAAGAAAATTAGTTAAGTTAATTATTTATAAAACATGTGTATTAGTTTCTTAAAATACCATATTTAATCATTTCCATTGGAATTGTCCTATGATAGGAAACTCTTTTAATATAAACAATCAGTAGCGATAGTTTGGGGAAAAAATTAGAAATTTAGGAGTTAAATTGAATTAAGATATTATATTTATGACTAAAATAACCCCGCAATTAGTCCCTATATTTAAGCCCAGGTAGAATACTTATGTCTGCGTTGATGAATATTGTAAGTCAATGAACACAGGTGATGGCTGTTGATTTATCGCATCGCCTCGGTTGGATTGATGATTCAGTTGTGGAGCGAGTTCATGCCATTCTTAAGCAGGCAAACCTACCTACAGCCCCTCCTAAAATTATGACTCTGGATGAGTTCAAGTTGCTCACGGCGGTAAGGGACTGGTGTTTCATTCTTTTTCTAATTTAAAAAAGGGTAAAGATGTAATTTTATTATGATCTTATCTATTATATGCAATTTCACCCCTTTAAGGTGATGGGTAGAATTTCACCCAAGATCAAGGGTAATAATACACCCAAAAAAAAAAACTCATGGGGTAAAATTACACAAAAAAAAGCATTAGTAAAGTTCTACCTCTAAAAAGATAAGAAGTAAAATTAGACATGATAAGTAAGATTAGGGATAAAATTATATCATTAAAAAGATCAAGAGTAAAATCATACTTAATAAATAAGATAGGGGTAGAATTGTTGAAAAAAATTAAAGCTTTTGTTCGTCTATGTTGTGGTGATTGGGGTTTGATTGTTTTGTTTTATCAGGGATGTGATGATTTGTTGGGAAGCCTTGTCCTTCTAAAGGGTTCTCCTGGCAATTTCGTTTTCACTGCGGACTACGACGGAAAAGCGTTCGAAGCTACGCTACACAAATTCTGTAAATCTTGATCTTTATGACCGGTTCTTGATTTCTGTTCCATCAGCTTCATGCAATTATCAAAAACAAACTTCTAAAATATACTATTTACCTTAAGAATTTTTTACTATCATATGACCTCGTATGATGTTTTTCTTGATCGCTCTTTACATTCTTTTTTGTTTTTTGGACTCAATCGCTCTTTACATTCTGTCGTGACTAAAAATCACCAACTTTTCCAGGTCCATGGGCCAAATCGATTTGGTCATTAGGCTTTATGGCTTTTGTGAACAATTTTTGGCAGTAGTTTTATTAATAAGAGGCTCTAAATTTAAAAATTAAATTTTCAGTCCATAGACTGCAACTTCATATTCAATCAAAAAAGTTAGTTAAAATTAATTAAAAATAATAAATATGTAAAAAACATGTAATGCTACTTTAAAAATTCCCTAGTTGTGAGGAAAGAAAGAGTGAGAGAGAATTTACTTTTGAACAAATATCTTGATAATAAATGCGATCATATTAATATGAGTGATTAAATGGGGGCGGAATGTGAAATTAACAAAAAGAAAAAAGAAATTATGGACAACCTCGAAAAATTTATTATAAATAGAAACAAATCATATCAGAAAATTATTTTGTTGGGGACTATTCCATTCCATTCAATTCTGAATATAAAAATCTTTGCCCCTAGTTTGGCATACCAATTATGAGCTGTGAAATAAATGAACTTTGCACTTAGATGTGCAGCTTCCAATTATGGAGGATAAGAGTGTTCTGGTCCTTAATAATAGTAATACTTATAAATTAAGGCAATGAGATAGCTATAATGCTAATGCCAGATCAAACCCATTATACGATAATGCAATGCAAACCTTAGGGAAGGTAGAGGAACGTGCAGAATAGTTAAAGGGAGCCTTGCATTGCAATGTGCATTATAGCTAGCAGGCAAATAAAACTTCTCTCTTCTTTATCAAGTATCAATCTTTTGAGCTGGAAAATACCTAAACCATAGCTTCCCCCTGGTCCCACCCATGTTCTTCAGCATCTTCTTGAGTTTGACATCTTAAAGAAATCATCTTCAATATCAAGTCTTCTTTTTCAGATCGCATTATGTGGATTTGTTTGTGTATTTCCTTGGTCTTCGCTCTTCTTTCGGTTAAAAATGTTAATCTTTACAGTATAAACGAAAGGGTCAGGCAGCATCCTTCAACAAAGTAAAAAGGGTTAATCAGCATTTATAAATATTTTTTCAATGGCGCTCAACATTTTACATTAATTTTTTACATATCTAGTATTTTAAAGTACTTTTTCAGTAATACTGAGTATCTAAAAATAAATTTTAGTATATCCAGCATCGTGATACTTGGTATTTTAAGTTTTGAATGTCCATTGCTATTAAAAAAAATACTTTTAAAGTAAAATTGCACCAAAAAATCCTTTTAAAATATTTGATGTTAATGAAAAAATATTTTAAATTTAGAGTGCTAAATTAATTTAGAAAGTTAGGGTAGTGAATGCAATTTAATCCCAAATTAAAAAAGACAAACTTTACTGAAATTTATTACCCAAAAATTTATCTTACGAAAAAAAGGGTCTTCACTGGATTTCGCGGCGTCATTTGATTTCTTTAACGTTAGATCCTTGTAGTAATGGCTAATAGAGCATCGCAAATGATAGTGATTCAGTTATTATATGAACTCTAAAAATTGCAACAATTTGATTTTCCTGAAAGAAATAGATATAATCCCAAATGTAATCGAATGAAAAGTGTGCTCAATAGAAATCCAATAAGAAATTCAAAAACTAATTGTCTCGTTGAAGGGATTAATTACTCGCAGATTCTTATTAATCCTTCGTTTTTTCATCCTAAACCTAAAATTTTGGCGCCAATGGCAAATAGTGAAACAATTTTTGGGCCAAGCATTAATGTGATATGAATCGGAACACAAAAGTACAAAAACATTTATAATTTAGGGAGAAACGTGAAACGCCGCTTTCTACTGTCCGCATCAGCGCATTTGTCCTTTTTCCCATTGCCAGCTTTAATTTAGATGCCAAAGGTGAAGCCTTTAGGAAGAGAACCAGAACCAGAACCACCACCATTAACGCTCCCTTGTGTGTGAGCTATTGAGGTTGCCTCCAGAAAAGGGAAGGGAAGCGAGTAGAAAATGGAGAAAGCTCTGACTAAAGTCAGTAGCTTGAAGGTCGGTCTGGGAAACTCATGGATTACCAAGAAAGCCAAGGAGGAGTTCTCTAATATCTCTGACGACATCAATGTGAGTCAAATCTTCTCTGCATTTCGCTTTCTTCTTTTGATTTTGCGCTTTTTCATCTTTTATTTTCCCTTCTTTATGTCTGCAATGAGGGTTATCTGGGTTATACTAACTTGTTTGTGTCAATCTAGTGTGGTTATTGTAAAGTCGATACTGGCTTCAGAGATCTTAAAGACTTGTTAGAGTTAATAATGAACTGGGTTTCTTTTTCTTGTCCTTTTCCGGAAAAATGATATCCGATTGACTGTACCGATTTAGGGGAGCTGCTTTTACTCGAGTGATTTGGGGGTGGAAGTTTTAGGGGTGTAGATATATAATGTGATAATCGAAGTGAAATTGAATTTATTACTTATTAATATTGCTTCGTCTGACACTAAATATTTGCAAGACTGGCATTGTAATGACATATTTCTTTCTTTCTGAGAAGTTACTTCTTGGGTCATGGGGGACGGGGTTTGTTTAAGGGGAACTTCTTTAGATCTTTCCGGGTTTTGAGGTGTTAAATTCACTAGAATCATATAATTTACTCTGCACCCATTTTCTATGCTTTTTGGCTGAATGGATGGGAGGGGGAAGTATGTGAGCAGAGGATGCTATGGGAGAAGAAGGACAATAGTAAAATGTGTCATGGGAGGAATCTTTATTTAGGCTTTCTTTTTATGAACAAAAATATGTATGCATGGGTTAAAGTCAAAACCTCGGGTATTGGATTCTTTCCACGCAAATACTATTCTGTTCAATGTGACTACCTTCTGTTCTGCTTGACCCCAACAATCTCTTACTCAAGTACGAATCTGTGAGATGCTTACATGAATATGCTCTCCATTCCTCTTCCCTATGGCAATAAATCTCTTCATATGATGATGTGTGGTTCCATTTGTTTGGGCAATTGTCTATTTGATACTAATCTTAGGACTTTAGGGAGCTTCAGATATCAAAGATATCTTCATTGGGCCTCTTTGACTAGATTGAGGAAATTAGTGAGTAGATTTCACATTACTTTCTAAACAAAAGATATTAAAAGCATCAGATTTATAGTCTGTTTTCACTTATATATCTATTTTCTGGTTCAAATCTATCTAGTGTGCAATGTATTTTCGCTGCCACTCACAACTGACCAACAACATGGGACTTTTTTTCTTAGCATATGAAGCATTTAATTTCTTGTATTTCTTCTTCCTGAGAATGAATGCTAGGGCTTGGTGAGTCAGAAAAACATTTAAGCTTATATAATTTACTCAATTCAGGGTGTTGTCTTCATTCATTTAGTATAACTCTGATTTAGAACGCCCTTAGATTGATCATTACTGTGTACAAACATGTGACACTCGCCATATGGGGATTGGGCGCATGGTCACTAGTTGTAAGCTTCTTCGGATGGCTTTTAGGGCAATATTTTATGATCATTTAGAGAATTTGGCAGGCTTCAGCTTCACGGAATTCATATTTGTAAAACAACACCCCCCCAAAAAAAAAAAACACATTTCTTTATGTTGATTAGCGACACCTTTTGCAAACTTCCTGTGTCCAAGCACAGAATTGGATTGAATTTCTGTGTGCATGTACTACAGTACTAGCATATTTGAGTGTAATAAATTTAATTAAGTGAAAAATACTGTTAGTTGTTTAGTGTCTGGGCATTCTAGACTTTGATGCTACTGCATAATCCCAAGCAATTCTGCTAAATGGTGATTTTTCTTTTTTGCAGACTTTCTCAAGTACTGTTGAAGAGAAAGCAAAATGGATTTTCAACAAACTAAAAGGTATGCAAATTTGCTTCAACCCTGAATGTTCATGTGAGATCATGCATATAAAACTTGTTGTTTCATAAGCAGATATGGTACTTTAGATGCATACCAGGAACACAACTGCAACATACATTTTCTGTGCCCAGAAAATGCTTAGAATGCTTACATCTTAGATTTTTTTATATTCCCCAAAATTTCGTATGCATGGCATTCAAATAGACATGATCTATAGATGGAGTGTCAGCCGTAGTCATATTCTTTGGTATGATTATTGTTTGAATACATGAATGTGGAGGATTGAATTTGGCAGGCCATTGCAATATGTAGGGATAGTATCTCAATTAAGTCTATTTAATTTGACCAATTTACAAGCTACTTTTCCAACTAATGATCATATCACCTACTCTTCTTCCCTTTTCTTTTCAATATTTATGCTTCAGGCAAGCCACTGAAAAGCTTACCAGATCTCCTCCGTGACTACAACTTGCCGGCGGGGCTTTTCCCGCAGAACATAATCTGCTACGAGTTTGACGAAACCAATGGTAAGCTGGTGGTGTACTTGCCATCTGCGTGTGAGGTCAGCTTCAAGGACTCCTCTGTAGTCAGATATGCGACTCGAGTCAAAGGGATTCTCACACGTGGGAAGCTCACAGGAATTGAGGGAATGAAAACAAAGGCCATTGTGTGGGTTAAGGTGACAACTGTGGCAGTTGAAGGTTACAAATCTGATAAGGTCTGGTTTACTGCTGGTGTAAAGAAGGCAAGGTCAAAGGATGTTTATGATACGCCTCGCGATGCTCTCAGAGTATCGGAATTCTGAGGTTATTTTATTAGGTCTATGACAGATTGAGAATCCTCATGTCCATTGTTATCTAGTTCATTACAAAATGATATATTATACAGTAGGACTTGGCATCGTCTTTTTTGTTTTGCCAGAAATGTTGGTACTGGATATTTTGAATTGCTGTTCTGTTCATTCATTGAATGTGAATTGAGAAGCTCACTGGAGGCAATCAAAATTGAAAACCTGAATTCATACAACTTTGTTTCTTCCCCCTTTATTCAGTTGGTTTCTTGTCTTGTGAGTAGGGGTGGAAATAGGCCAGGCGGCCTGTCAGGGGCCTGTGACTTGGCCTGGCCTATTTCCAAATTAAAACAGGCTCAGGCCTTTAAAAAAGGCCTGTTTCTCTTAAAAGGCCAGGCTCAGGCTCTTTAATAAGCCTGTTAAGCCTGTTAAGCGGCCTGGGCCTGTTATATTTTTTTAAAAAATATTATAATTATAAATTTATAATTAACTTTTTTAAAATAATACCATATTTTGATTAATATTGTAATATGCCTAATACCACATTTTTATCCTGAATAAGACCATGTTTGGATTACTCTTCAATATACCTTGAATGATGATTTCTCTAATATGCACTTTGTTATTCGTTCAAATCCTACTGCCCGATGATGATTTCGTGTTTGTCATTTTTGACTTTTATTTACCTATACAAAACTACTTAATTTTTCTAATGTACATCACCAACAAGTGACAGCAGAAATAACCCCTCTATGAATTTGATTTCTGTTTATCCCTTGTATTGTGACTATTTTAACTACATCTTCTCCTCAAGTTATTGAATATTTTTCACTTAAATAATATAATTTGAAACATGAACAACGAAATAATATACTACCATTTGAATATTAAATATTTTTCACTTAAATATTTTAGATAATTTGGATTGAGTTATTATAATTTTGAGTTGATTTAAATATGTTTAAATTTTTTTTAAAAAAATACAGGCTTCTTAATAGGTTTCAGGCCAGGCCAGGCTTTTGCACAGGCCAGGCTTAGGCTGAATTAAGGCCTATCACAGGCCACAGGCCAGGCTCAGGCCAACAAGCTTCAATACAGGCCTGGCCTGTTAAGGGTAAGGCCTGGCCTGTTTCCACTCCTACTTGTGAGAGATGCTTCGGAAGCCAGCTTCTAGGAGGGCAGAAGTTGTTTGTTCATTCTATGTTTGGATTAGCTGGAAAACAAAATTAGTAGTTGATTAGGTAAACAAAACTTCATTGGCTGGTTTGCAAAATTTGTTGTCTAAGGATATGAAAATGGATGATGTGGGACCTCATTTGGATGGTCACAATGAGATTTGCTCAGTCCAAATACAATTTTAACAATTTAGATTTAAAAATTCCAATTGGCAATTTTAAATAAAAAGTTAGTTTTTAAAAAGTTGTTTGTTAAGATATTATCTTTATTTTTAATTCTATACACACTAAAATATTTTTTTAAAATAAAAATAAAAAAAAGTATATGAGACTCGTTTAGAATGATTTGGCTCTTGATCCTAATTGAAGTTGTTTTGGATTATTTACTTAGATTTCCTTTAGTTATTTAGATGTTCTACATTCTCTTTTAATTTAGTAGCCTTCTCAATTCCAATTTACTAAATAGGAGTATTGATAGGATAAGACAAAATTAAAACAGACTTGTCTCATGAATTAGGATAGGACAAGATTTCTATCTTGCGTCTCATCCCATTCCCTCTTTTTTCCTCAAACCACTATAATGTTAAACTAGAATTTTGAATTTTTTTTCTTTATATTGTATTGTTTACTCTTATTAGACTTTTAAAAGATAAAAACACTTTAAAAACTATTATGCAGAAAGCTCGAATTATAAGCAAAAGGATCATGCCCTTGACATTAAAAAAAATCACTGAAAAAAAAACAAACATTAATATTAATTTAATAAGCAAATTAAAAAAAAAAAGACCCTGTCGTACATCCTATCCAGTCCCTATTACTGTTTTCTCTCTGTTCGGGATTGACGGAAATCAAGACGGGACAAGTTAAATACCCTAGTTTACTTGTACAAGACTTTGTAGCTTATGTTTTCATAATCAAAATATTTTGCCGGGGAAAAGAAAGGAGGAAACAGTTCCTCCTTCCCTATCGAAACGGCGCGCATCAGCGTCGAATGCTCACTCCTATGCCGCCATGCGTTAAAGTTCAAACGGTTGCTGGTCAAAAAAAAAAAAAAAAAAGGTTTAAACGGTTAAAGTAAATTTCTCTTCTGTCGTGGGCTGAAAAGAAAATTACTCTTTTGCACATTACATTGTTGTTCGAAAAACGAGTCGAGCAGCATCAACAAGAAGCAGACAAGATCGATAGAGCGAGAAGGCAGGACTGAGCACGGAGGAGAAGGGACTAGAACTCCCGGTAGAAGGAGAAATTCAACTAACCCAACAATGGCGATTTCTGGCGATCTGAGGGTCTCTGCAACGCTTCCACTCCATCACTCTTACCCCCGTCAAAGTTCATTGTCATCCCCGAAGGTCTGAAACTTTTCTCGTATTTATTGTTCCATTTCTGTTCGTTTCGTGCTCATGGGGTGAAGGGTCGAGTGTTTTTGCGGTTATAGCCATCTGATTTCTGATAATGTCTTGGAGGACTCGATTAATAAGGAAATTCAATGAGAACGTGTCAGAGGTTTAAGGGGATGGTGAAACCCCAATTCCCTCCCCCCCCCCCTCCTTTTGCTACGTTTCCCCAGCCACGAATCTGGGAATTTGGGGATTTTGGACTTTGTGAAGAGTTACATTGGGTAATTGATTCTTCGAGGAATTCATCTTTTATTCACATGGGTTTGAACTTTGGGGTCTTAGTCACAGATGGTTTGAACTTTGGGGTCTTTGTCATCTCTCTATTTTCGTCTGTTGATGGTAGATGGCAGGCCTGGTTAGAGCAGTTTAACTAGTTATTCTTTCTATTGAAATTGCAGTATCGCTTGCAAGTGAGGTGTTATTGTCAAATTAAACTTGAAGGGGCAAAATAAAACGAAAGATGAGATATGCAATATTTGGGATGGTTGCTGAGGAAATTTTATATAAGTTTTTGCAATCTTCTATTATTTTGTGCATTTAAGTATCTTGTTGCAGGAGTTCTAGCTGTTTACCTTGTCAGTGACGAAATTTTGTTCTGTTATGTATGGGGCAAGAATGAGATGAAGTATGAGTCTATGTTCACCAAGCCTGTATTAATTGATGGCCTTAAGCTATGTTACAGAGCTGGCACTTGTTAATATCGTTGGGAAAATCTTTGTTTGCATGCACAGAGATGTCCTTGTTTTGCTTATTTATCATGCATTTTGAGGAAAAAAAGATGAACTTTGTGAAAGATGTGCCAGATGTTACATAATGTCTCTGCCATGGGCTCTTTGTGAAATCCTGCGTGTATCAAGCATATATTCGTTTGTCCTTTTTTTTTTAAATTTAAATCTTGGGTTGAAAGTGATGGAGGAATCTGATAAACTGACTTGCATGAGTTGTAATTTAAGGACCCTGTAAATGTCTGAGAGTTTGCCATTATACTTGATGGAATCAGATTCAGAACTGTGTACTTGGACATTCCCCAATTTGTGCTTGGATGCTTAGTATGTTTAAAGACTATGAAATACATATTCTACTTAAAGGAAAGAGATTCATAATTTTTCATCAGGTGGTTTTACATGGGTGCCATTGCTTAAGTGCTGCATTGGTTATTATGGAAGATTGAAGGATATAAAAGAAAACTAAGGGCCTGTTTGGGTATCCCCAAACCGTGGTTTCAGAAGCACTTTTCTGCAAAACGAGATAATCTCCTCCACATATTTACTTCGTAATCCGTAAAAGCACTTCTGGAACCATGGTTTGGTTTCTATCCAAACACACCCTAAAACCTCATCATGTAAATGTCAAAACATAACAGCATTTGCACAGTGAAAATGTCTTCACCTGCTTTATTCCTTAGCTTTTCTGTTTTATAGGTAGACTTCTCTAGTTCCTTGAATGGGGCATCCAGCATCACTGAATTCACACCAAAGTATCCCAGCATGGCAATTAAACATCATGGTATGCGCAGTCAGTGGAAGCCAGTTTCTGGAGTCAGTGGAGATCGTAATGCATCACCAAAATTTGCTACCCAAGAAGCTGAGAATTTTCTCCTTGATGCTATTAACATGAGCTTTTTTGAACGATTAAGCTTGGCTTGGAAAATAGTTTTCCCATCAGCAGTATCTAAAAAAAGCTCAAATGCTAGGATTGCCAAGCAGCGTCTAAAGATGATCTTGTTTTCTGATCGATGTGAAGTAAGCGACGAGGCAAAGCGCAAAATTGTTAACAACATTGTGCGTGCTTTGTCTGACTTTGTGGAAATAGAATCACAGGACAAAGTACAGTTGAGTGTTTCTGCTGATACCGATATTGGAACTATTTACTCTGTGACGGTGCCTGTCCGGCGTGTTAAGCCAGAATATCAAGATCTGGATGAATATGGGACAATAACAAACATTGAGTACAAGGATGTTGGAGATAGTTCAGGTTCCGTTGATGTTAGATTTGATTTTTATGTTCCAGATGAGAGGTCTTGATGTCTGAACTGAAAGCTTGTTTCACAAACTATTGATCAATTTGTGTTAGGAATTTTTACTAGTTTAGCTAAGTTGTAACCGTGTATATATTTGAGACTTGAGTAAGAGAAGACTAGCAGCTTTTGAGTTTTGATTATACCACCTTTATTTTGTTTGGTTTGGTGCGTAGCTGAGCTAAAAATGACTTGTTATTTGCAATGAGATTTATGATAAGTTTTTCTTTGAAGTCATTAGTATGGATAATGTGACCCTCCTCCTTCTGTTAAATTCAATTCCTGCTGGTTATAACTGATGTTATCTATGTAGCACAATAGCGAATTGGCATATTAGTCTTCTTAAGAATGGAGTTCAGGGGAGAAAATTTTAGTTTTTCTTCCGCATATTACCTGGTCTTGTTCATATTCAGAGGAAACATTTTAAATCTATACTTGTTCAATTTTAATTTTTATCTCATAATTGCCGTTTGGGTGCATCATAAGGATACGATGAGACATGAAAGCTTAAGCCCTCATCTTGTTACAAGAGAAAAATGTTTTTAATTATTTACTGTTGTGAATCTCAAATAATTTAGTCTTTGAAAATTCTTTTATTATTCAGTAATCTCTAATCAACTAAAAACTCAACTGATATTAAAGGATGCATGCCTTTGTTCAAAAGGGTTAATGGCTTAATGCCTAAGATCTGTATATAATAGAGAAATTACAGTAGGTCGGACAAATCATTTTTCATGTTTTGAATATTATAAGTGCGGACGTCTATTCCTCTCTTTCTCTTCAACTTCATCACATAACTTCTATTCTTGCTGGGTATTATTCCTTCGCTTCATTACTCTTCTATTATACTTTTAATCTTATAACTCATCTCCCACCTACATTCATGTAGTTTATGCTCTACTATTTATAATTTAAAGATAAGTATAACCTATATGTAAGGCTATGCTTATAAATAGAACATATCATTGTATTGTGATATAAGTAAAGCAAGTAAAGGAATACAACGTACTTCTCTTATTTTCTTGTCTTCATTTCTTTTCTACTTTACTTTTTTTGGTAACTCATTTTATAACATATTGGACATTATTGTAGAGGATTCATAATAGATATCTCGTTTTCTCTTTTGTGATAGATATATAATAGCCTAAGAGTTATTTAAAAACTATACTTATTTTTTTAATAATTAAACCGTACTAAAATATATAAAAGTTCAATAACAAAAATAGTTACACAATGATGTGTGTGGACAAAAATTAAAACAAATAGAAAAAGATTGTAAGAAACCGAAAGAGAGCTGAACTATTTAAAACTTATAAATAATAAATTTTTCAACAAACTAATCATCAGCACCCATTTTTTTCCGTCGAGCCGGCTTAATCTAAATTAGTTTTCTTCCCGAACAAAGAATACGACAGTTTTAAAAAACGGGAATTGAACCCGACGTGAATCGAACACGCAACCTTCTGATCTGGAGTCAGACGCGCTACCATTGCGCCACGGATCCGCTGGGTGGGGTGGTGCTTGTCTTTTATTTAATAACTAATGATTAATTGGAATTTCAAATTTCCCCCTATTCAGGAAATTGGCATTCTTGGCGCCAATCACAGTTCGAACTTCGAATTGGGCAATTTCTCGGTTGGTGCACAGAGTATTGTCTCTTCTGCGGGGGAAGAATGAAGAAAGACTACCTGGAATTGCAGTTAGAAAACCCAATTGGCGATGCTATCTCCAGGATTCAGTTCGCCCCTAACTGTAGCAATCTACTCATATCTTCATGGGACTCCGTAAGTTCGAATCTGTTTTTCTTCAGTCCCAATTTCTCTTAATGTGTTGAGTTTTTCTGAGTTAAGCTTTGGATTTCTGAAACCGCTGGAAGTTCCTGGTCTCTGATTGACGAATTTCTTGCAGAGCCTTCGCTTATACGACGTGGACAATTCTGTGCTTAGATTAGAAGCCCCTTCAGAAGCGGCGCTTCTGGATTGTTGTTTCCAGGACGACTTGGTTGCTTTCGCCGCTGGTTCTGATGGATTAATTCGAAGGTCTCATTTTTATTTTTAAAAAAATTTATCCATGGTATAGCTGTTTATTTATTGCTAATACTCAGCGTTAATGATGTTTTCGGGCATTTAATTTGTCTTCATGATTAGAAATTAATAACTTTTTAAGACTTCTGATATCATTTTTTTACCTGAAAATGCTTCATATATTAGTCAAAATAGTACGTCAGCACCGAAACATAGCAACCTGGGAATATTCAAACGACAGAGGGGCAGCACAAAAGATATGCTCACCCGACCCAACTTTCCTCACGAGCCAAACCTTCATCTCCAGTTGAGACAGTTTAGACGGAAATAAGTCCATCCAATAGTTTAGAGGAGGAGATGGCCAATGCGCCCATCCAGTAGGACACACCTCTTTACCAATGCCTATGGCAATGTAGTCTGCTGCATGGTTCCTCTTTCGAGGAGTTGGAGAATAGGAGAATCTAGTCACAGAAAGAATGCTATCCAAAACTTCCTTGCATCAGACTGCTATACTGTCATTCACAATAATCAATTACTTCATCCAAGGAGGGGAAGATGTCAGCATTATCACTTTTAAGAATGCTGTTCTTGCAGATCCTGTGATCGTTGGTGGGCTAACGTGCTAAACGCATGAATTAACTATTTCTTGCTGCCATCTTCCAATAGTGAGAAAAGACTTTAACTTCATTCATCCTTTCTTCACAGTTGGCATCCCAAAATTCTTGGATGTTCTTAGAAGTAGTGTAAATAGTTTTGCATGGGTCAGGCTGTTTAGAGTTAAACACAGCATCATTCCTTTCTTTAATAGAGACCAACATAGCCACATTACAAATGCTTTCCCATAATAGTCTAGTAAGCTGTTTTTCATCGTCATATCAAAGCACCAGCCACCAAAATTATAAACATTGCTAGGTTCAAATCTCAAAGCTAAAGAACTCCCAAACCAAACACATTGAACGTGCTTCGACTTCAAACAAAAACCTTATTTTCCGTTTGCAGCATAGTCATGTTTCATTTTATAATTTCATCAACGTGCTTTGACTTCTCTAGAGCTTCACGTCGTCAGGTATAACTTGCATTTGGGAATTATTGATAGAATGGGCAATCATGACGATGTAGCAACATGCGTTGGATATGCCAATGAAATATGTAAGCTATCTCAACTAACCTTTCTACCTTAGTTCTTCGTCTCAAGTGGTTTATGTTCTAATTGTTGATATGATATTGAGAGACCAAATGCAGCAACTGTATAATTGGACTTAAACTAAATAATAATACTTCATTCCTCTTTTTCTCTACCCTTGTCCTAGAGAATTGCTATTATGCATACATTTTGCTGTTTAGAAATGGCAGGAGCAGAAGATAAAGGAAATGTTGCCTCGTTTGTTGTTGCAGAAAGATAGTAAATGTTGGCTTTGTTCATGAAAATGACATACTTAATTGATGTTTACTATAAATTTTGTCGAGTTCTTAAAGTTCATAAAGATAAAATTGATGAAAAAATGGTTTTAGGCAGAATAAAAGGTCTAAATTTGAATGTAATAATTTCCCTGCTTATGTACAAAACACTGGCATGCTGTGTTGTCTCTAATAGTTAGGAAAGATCCGTAATCATTCCTGTTCCTGGTAATTGAAGGTCAGTTGATCACTGCCGGATTTGATAAGTTATTGTTGTGGGATATTCGTATGGAGAAGGCTCCTTCATGCTCAAAAATTCTAGGCGCAGAGGTGAACTCCATGTCTGTCTCTAGGTTGAATCTGACGGTTGGAATAGGAACATCAGTGCATATCTATGATCTTCGTTATTTTGACAAACCAGTTGCATCAAGTGAACCACACAAAGGCACACAGATTAGATGTGTTAGTTCAATTCCATACACAAGAGGTATGATGACCCTTTCGGTTTAATTTGTTTGATTTGAAACAGGTCACACTGACATGTTAGTGCTTCTATAACAAGATATGCCAATGGCACTGCTTTTCTAATTTCAATTGCAGGATTTGCAGTTGGGTCGGTAGATGGGAGGGTAGCATTGCAGATTTCTGATTCTTCTAGTTCAAATGACATTGAGTAAGTTTTATAACCCTACACATGGCTCCTTTCCCAACTTCATAATCCCTCAAACTGCTATGTAACCAAAGCCAAATGAAGCCGCTGACCATGCAGTTCTTGTCTTCCTTTGTTATTCTCCTCCTTTTGCTAACGTATATATGTCTTCCCAGACAGGGATCTATGCATTACCGTTTATTTTCCTATTGCATTTTCTTTTTGTCTCCTTAGCGAACAAAAATATTTTCTTCTCTCTGATTGAGACTATTTAAGGATCTGGTCCATTCTAGGATAGCTGTTTCAAATTTTATAATCTTGCTGGTATTCTGTTCATATCCGTAGTGGCATGAATCTAATTACACGTGAGGGAGAAGGACTCAAGTTTCATGAGCATAGCATATGGATTTATGTTGTTGAAAAGAATTAGGACACAGTTTTTAGTGCGTGACTGCTTGGTTTCAATATGAGGGGGAGGGAATTTTGAAATCTTCGATCACTTTCTAATTCTAGCTCTGTTCAACATTCATAAGCTCAACATGTAATTTCATTTTCTCTTTCCATTTTTGGCCTCCGTAAGCCATAATTTCTTTCCTAATTTCCTTCGATATGTCTTACAGATATTTACGTTTCCCTTTTCTGGTTTCCAACATGGTACGTCGGAAAAAGTTCAGCTTTTCGGCTGATTTTTGTAATGAAAGGTGCTTACAAATTTCCATGTCAAACTTTGTCGTAGATTTATATTCCGGTGTAATCCTAAATCGATGGATGGAAGACATCATTTGGCATCAGTTAATGACATTATATTCAGTCCACTGTAAGTTCCTTGCCAATAACCATATAAACATTATAATGTATAACTATTAATACTTTATTAATTTTTCGGTTAGTGTTCAAGGTGCTTTTGCCACTGGTGACAATGAAGGTTATGTGATTTTATGGGATGCTAGTAGTAGAAAAAGACTCATTGAGGTATTTGCCTAGAAACTTGCATACTTAATCCTATGTCTTGTGGCATTCGACTAATGATGTATGTACCCTGTGGGCTGCTTCATTCGTGCATCTATATACACTCGAGATTTCATTTCAACTTTACTTCCGTTTTTCTCAATTTCAGTTACCTAAATACCCGAATAGTGTGGCATCCTTGTCATACAACCACGTGGGACAGCTTTTGGCTGTGGCTTCAAGTTACACATACCAAGAAGCAAATGAGATGTTAGTGATTACTCCCATGTCCTCCACTCATTTCTTCTTTATCATTTGTAGATTCTGATATTCTGTTATCAATATTAATATTATCTTTGCTTTGGCTTTCTTATTCTATTTTCGGAAAGGGTATTATCATCTTATTATTTGTAGAAATTCAATATTTAGCCTCCTTAATAATGTCATCGAGAATCTAAGTTACACACACCAAGAATCAAATGAAATGTTTGTAATTTTTTGCTTATTTCTCCACCACTCGTTTCCTCACAATGAAACAAAGAATACGTCCAAGGATTCCTCACTTAATTTGACTGCAGGCAAGGAGATTAATAAAGAAATATATTGCTTTTGAGTTTTGACTGCAATCTTTGATCTATTCATTTGGTTGTCAGCTAATTGCCCCCTTCATCTTGACAGAGAAGAACCTCCTCGTATCTTCATTCACAATACGGACAACATCAGTATTAGATCAGTTTCTGCCAGCAATTCTGCTAGTAGAAGCTAAGCTTGCCAACAAAGGTATCAATACAGTTGGAGGCGGAAAGAAATGATCCGCAACATGTGCTGTTCATTCATGTACAACAGAATGGTGATCTAGTGGGTTCTGCTAGTCTTTTGATCTCTAACTTCCCACGCTCTAGCTTGTGTTTAATTCTCTTCCTAGATGGTGCCTTGATGAATGATTTGCAGGTGAAGGGTTTACTTGGGAATTGATTCACTCACTAGCTTCAGTCGAGTCACTCCCTAGATCTAGCTCAAGAAACCAGGCTGCGGTATTATGAAGGAAATGGTGCTTCTGATATGACAGTGAGCTTTTTCTAAGAAACGCATGTTGATTTTTAGTGAAGGCCAAGCAGCAAAAGGTCTTTGTAAGTTATTTTTATAGAAGTACCTTTCAGACATTGAAATTGAATTAGATTATATAGGGGGCGGATATTATTCCAGGTTGAAAAATTGTATTCCTTTGTTGACAATTCCATTCACTCTGTTTCTTACATGTGTACTCATTTGTCTACAATTTAATATAACTCCATTTGA